ACCTCTTCAATCTATATGTGAAACAGATCATTCAGGAGGTTGGTCTTTATAAGGAGGAATGTGGCATCAGAATTGGAGGAAGATTCATCAACAACTTGTGTTACGCAGATGACACAACCTTTCCTGTTGACACTGAGGAGGACCTGAAGCATCTGCTGTAGAAAGTCAAGGACTGCAGTTTTCAATATGAATTGAAGCTCAACATTAAGAAAACAAATATCCTCACCACTGGGCCAATGAGAAAGAGATTATCAGCAATTTCAGCCTACTTGGGTCTGTCTGTAATTAACACCCTTGGAATCACCATCCAAGAAATTAAAAGATCAATTTGGTTAGGAAAGTCTGCTTTCATGGACCTCTCCAGAGTACTGAAGTGCAAAGATACCAGTCTAGAGACTAAGGTGCACCTGATCCAGGCTATGGTCTTCACAATTACTTGCTATGCATCAGAGAGGGGGACAGTGAATAAGCATGATAGAAAAGGAGCTGATGTCTCTGAGTTGTGGTCCTGGAGAAGAGTGTTGAACACAACATGGACTGCCAAGGGAACAAACAGGTGTGTCCTGGAAAGGGTGAAACCAAGTTGCTCTCTGGAGGCAAGGATTTTGAAGCTCCATAATCACATACTTTGTACACATGGTCAGGAGGAAGAGATCCCTGGAGAAAGATATCATGATTGGAAGGGTGGAGGGACAATACAGGAGGGGAAGGTCTTGGATGAAATAGACTGATGCAGTGACTGAGGTAATAGGGGCAGGTGGGTCAGACATATTGAAATTGGCTCTGGATAGGACGGGGCTCAGAGCTATTGTGCATAGGGTCACTATGAGTTGTAGTCAACGCAACAGCACATAACAAAAACAACACATACGGTGGGAAGGGAACTCTGCTAGCCTACTAGGTAAGGAGCTATGTTACCAACTCAGAGGCAGGTGGTATGAATCCACCAGTTGATCCACAGAAGACATATGGACAATACCTTCCCACGTGTTTTTCAGCTTCTGGAAATTCAATGAGAATCAGCTATGAGTTGACTCTAACTCAATGGCACATAATAACAATGTAATCGGAGAAGAGCGTCATATAAAAAAAAAGAATATTTCTTGGTAGGGTGATGTGGAAACTACTCCTGAAAGAGTTTATTTTGGGCTGTGGTTGGGAGGAGAGGAGAAAACATTAACAATAATGATAACAGCAAATATTTTCTGAGAATTTACTCTGTGCAAGTGTCATTCTTGATCCGTATCAGGGAATCCATGCAGGGAATACACTCCGTCTTCTAGAAACATTACTAGAAAAGTCTAACTGACATGGAGGGGTAGCAAGCCATCCAGACAGACAAGACCGCAGGGTTTATGCTGGAGGACAGATGGACACAAGACTGGAGGCAGAGCTATGATGGAGATGTGTGAAGGCTGGAATGATAGGCTGAGGAGTTTGTAGATTGTAGAGAGAGAGTGAGGACATCAGAGAAGAGACAAGCAGAGCAGAACATCAGGTTGACATCTCTGGGCAGGGAAGCCCGCAAGCCAGGTGACCATTAGATATCGCAGAAGTCCAAGGACCAGGTGACAAGGGCTTGAATGATGATGAAAGTAACTTGGGGAAGGTCACCATGGAATTACACTGTAAGGAAAGACTAATGGACTTTGGGATTGATGAACTGTGTGTGTCTAAGGGCCTAGAGAAAGGCAAAAAAGATAGGTGGCTTGGGACTTTGGAGATGGAGGAATAATGATATAAGATACACCACTTAGCCTTACTTAGGATCAGGAGCTCTGACGGCCTAGTGGTAAGAAGCTGTGCTGCAATCAGAAAGGCACAAAGTTAAAGTCCACCAAGGGAGAAAAATGAACAATCACCTCCCATGCTACTTACTGCCTCTGAAAACCCAGTGGAGGGTCAGTCAGCTACGAGTCAATTCCAACTCACTGGACAACAGCAACATAATGTACAGGCCGGCAAACAACAGCCAGAGGTATATGCTTTCTGCTTACAATATACTTGCCTTAAAGTTGTGCCAAACACCACATTAATCACAAAATTAAAACCAGTTTGCAATCTCAGCTCCTGGAAAAATTCACTCCCCAGTGACCAAGGATGAGGGTAGCCTGAAGATGTACCCCCTCCCCAAGATGGTGGGAGACCCAGGCTTGCAGGACATCGTATCCTTTTTGGAAAAGCTGGAAGGATGCTTGGTTGCCTGGTGACAATGCTGCCTGGACAACAGTCCCTGGTTTCCGGATGCATCTCATTAAAAGGAAAGAGTGGCAGATGGCTGACACATTTTCTGAAGTGGCATTTTCAATGTCCCAAGTCCCAGTTGCTTGTTCATAAGTGGCACTTACAAAAGACAAGGGAAAGGAAAGAAGAGAAGAAAGGTCTCCCAGGATCTCAAGGATGCAGGGAGTCGATCTTGACTCTCTATTCCAGCTTGTCCAACAGAGACGGGGTGTGGAGCCTCCTTGAAATCCACCTGAAATGAATTAGCCTGAAGTAAAAGTAGGTGTTTATCTCAAGTCATTGCCTCAAATAGCTGACTACCTGTTGGAAGAAGGGTCTGATCGATGTAAACCAGAGCAGCCGTGCGTGAGCTGTTACACAGCGGTTAGTATTGATCAGAGCTAAAGGCAGCCGATAAGAATGTGGAGTGGACTGACAGGCAGAGAAGAGGGAAGGAGGAAACAGCCTTCGCTGGTGGCAGCCGTACAGAAGAAAGCCAATAAAAAGTCAATTCCACTTAACAGAATGGCTGCTAACTAAATATTTTGGGGGATAGAGCCTTCCCAGGTAGCAGCTGGAGCATCTCTGTTCCGGAACTGAGACATCAAGTGAGAGCAGGGCATCGACAGGCGAGATCACAGGGCCCCTGGTGATGGATGAGGGAGCATGGGAGCCACTGGGTGGAGGACTGGGTGGCCTCGGCTGAGCTGCCCAGGGGCAATGGAGGACAGTCACAGACCAGAGAATGTAGCTGGCTGATCAGAAAAGGATAAGGGACAGGTTGTAATATGGTTGTTGATTCATCAATTCATCTAACTTTTTTAGCAGTTTAGTGAAATTTATTCCAAAACTTTACTACATATGTAGTTTGCTTTTTAAAAATGAATTTTTGTGCAACAACGAATGAATGGAAATCCAGAATATCTGTAAATGTTAATTAAAATTAATAAAATAAAA